ATTATGCATTTTTGTATAAAAAGATAAGCTTTCTGTAATTAATAAAGAGTAATTCATTTTAAACTCGATTTTACTTATATTTGATGTAAGGAAAAGGGTTTCCTTATGGTGGAGATAAATTTGAAAAAAAAATCAAGGCATGAATGGTCATTTACAGTCCAGATTTTTATGTCACAGTCATGTTCGTTCATTATTAGTTATAGGTTTGGCTTTCTTTCAATATATATATAGACACACACAACTGCGCAGTCACTTTTTAATTTTTTTTTTCATAATAAAAAAACATTTATTGTTATGTTTAGTGAGTTGTTTAAATGAATAAATTTTGACAAATTAATTTTATAAGTATCTCTCCATTGTACTAACAATTTCAAAATTAAATAAATTGCTTGAATCACTCATCTGTTGATAAGAATTTCTTGTTTTCTTTATAATATTAATAATAATAAAAAATAAAATAAAATGGGATCTTTATGCTAAAAAAATTTTGATACCTGAAATTCTTGGTAATACCAATGTTCACTTTGTCTGGTTATGTTGCAGCATGCCCCGTATAATATATATACATTTATAACCCTTAAATATTCGAGTGCATTATAAAAGCCTTTAAATTTTCTCTTGTATCTTTTGTGTTTGCTTTTGAGGGCTCGAGAAATTGTAATTAATACTTGAGTAAATACAATCGTACCTCCATGCAAGAACCCTGTTTCTAAAAAAATGTGCTTACAGAGAGGTATTCTTATATAGAGGAGGTATTCTCTATAGGCTTAATCGTCCCCATACATATATATATTATTACCCTAATAAACTAACTAAAAAAAACTAAATCAATCAAAAACCTCACGTGTTTGTGGCTATAAATAGTTAACTGATAATAATTGATAAGCCTTATAAAAAAATTTTGTTCATAATAATCAGTCGTTTAGTTTCTAATTCTTTTTACTATTAGGGGTTTACTATGACCATGTCAAGCAGTAACATCAATTATAAATGTAATAAATAACTTCCATAACCCAACAAAATACAACATATTGTATAATTATTGTTGTCCTTCACTTGATCCATTTTCTTGAAAATCAAATCAAATACGATTGGATGGCACAAAAATATTGCTTCCATTGTCATTTTATTTGATTTTATATAAAGTGGTACCAAGTTAATTCCACGCTATTAGTTTTTATTTAATTTTCTCATTAGAAAAAAAAGATATTATAATAAAGGATGATGTATAATATTAAGCAAAATATCAAATTCTATTGTTTTACATGCATTAAAAAAAATAAATAAAAGTTGAAAATTTTTAAATTTTCAATTAAGTATGTACAATCATATATATGCTATTA